AAACTGATTAATAGGACAGTTTCAATAAATTTAAATGATACTTGATTACCACCAATTTTGTAAGTGTTCAACGGTACACAGACAATTCTGGAGTATTTTATTTTATTTTTACTTTTTGAAGGGAATGAAAATATTTAAAATATTAGACATGATATATAATATTCTTCCTTTATTTTTTTTAATTGTAGCTCCTTAGCCAGAACTAGGACTTCTCCAACTTTATGAGTTAATTTATAATATCCTAGAAATGGGAGAAAGAAGCAGAGATAAGATGCTGAATTTTACACTGATTAACAAATTCCCCTTCAAAAATGAAAACTTCGTTTTCTCTGCTGAAGAAACAGTTGAGGCAAATACCTCTCTGTGTTACTTCCTGAATTCTTCTGCCTTTGACATCTTGTGCAGTCTCTGTACAGGTAGAAAATATAATAAGGGGGAGAAACTTCCTACCCGTAAGAAGCCTGCAGCCTTGCATATCTGGTGGTACCCAAGGCACGAATGTGCTCCCAGTTGGAGGTCAGATCGTCTCTCATTTGTTCGATCTGTTGTTCTTCCGAAGGATGGGAGACCACCAACTTGTCCGCTTTGGCACACAGCTCCTTTACCTTTGGGGTGGAACAGAAAGCTCAGAGGAAATCCAACTCTGATTCCCAACAAAGTTCATATAAAACAACCATATGAATAACAAACTGGTAAATATATTTGTATTGACATATGCTATAAATATGTTAAACTGTTATGTTAATATCAATTTAATGAGCATCTATCTTTCATTGTGTTCAGTAGTGTACCTGCATTTTCTCATACTATATTATTTATTTAGTAATACCTTAAGGTAGAAACCATCTTTATTCTCCTTTTGAGTATCAACAGAGGCAAAGTGCTTCTTTGCACAAAGTCATTCAGCTAGTGTCAGAAGTAAGGTCCTGGTCTAAGTCTGTCCCTCATCATTCCTCTGTATCCCTAAATAGTACTGTGGGTGTCAGAAATACATATCTGCCCAAGGTTAAGAAAACTTCAATAAGGCCTGGGGAGATAGCTCAGTAGAATAAGTGCTTGCCTGGCAAACACAGGGTCCTGAGTTCAATCACCCATACTGGAAAAAAAAATTATTTAAGGGGCCAGGGAGATGGCTCCATAGAATAAGCGCTTGCCTAGCAAGTGCAAGGCCCTGAGTTCAATCCGGTTCTGCCAAAAAAAAAAAAAAAGAAAAGAAAAGAAAAGAAAAAGAAAGAAAGAAAGAAAGAAAGAAAGAAAAAAGAAAACTTCAGTAAAACCAGACCTTTTCACAATCAATTCT